CTGCTTTGCTGTCAGAATGAGAGAGGGTGTCAAATGGCCCAAGCTGCTTTTGATTGCTGTCCTGTAGAGAAGTACTTAGCTTTTGTTTTGAACAACGAATAGGATGGATATTTGCAGCTGGGGGAAGGCTGTAGCAGTCAGGCATGTTGCACAAGGCACCAGATGACTGCCCTGACAGCCTCGTGGGCTCTTCCCAAGCACTGGAGGCTGTGGGAGTCTTGGCTAGAGGTGGGTCCTGAGCCCCATGAAACATTAAGAGTGGTCCTGCTTAGCTCCATACTTCCCTCCCAGACCTGCCTGCTCCCAGGGCTCAGCAATCTCTATTTTTCCTGAAAAAAAAAAAATCTTGTTCCACATAAGAGATCTAAATATAATACCCAAGGAAAAAAAAGTTCCTCATTTTTGTATCATGAGTAAACTCTCTGTGTTAATTCTGCCCTTCTGTATGCACATTCTGGATGTGCTCTATGAAGTCAGTGAGGCAAAACCATCCCTGGGAGCTTTTCCCACTTCCCTCAGAGCCACACTCCTCTCTGGGTGCCTGCCCAGCTGCTGTGGAACCCCCTGACCCAATCCAAGAGCTGCTCGGGACAATTGTTAGGATTGAGGAGGTAACAAGGAGGATCGAGGAGGTCTCAGTTTCTTTATCCCTTATAAGAGGGTTTGCCCTTTAAGATCATATCTTACTTCAGAGCATCCTGGTCAAGTGGAAATCAACACTAGCTAAGTAAATGCTGATCATCCTGCTTAGCGACTTGAATTAAAAAGCTTTGCCAATCAGCCTTGATTGACAGAAAAAGGACAGGGCACTAGGATCAGTCATGCGGCTTTAGAAGGCAAGAACTTCACTTCAACCTTACTGTTTCCACTTTAATCGAACTCGAACAGACCTGTATCATCAATTGCAGAATACTTACACATCTTTTTTGCCAGTGAGAAAAAACAAATCTACATATTAGAGTCCGTGTAGGAGCCAAATCTGTGCTAGAGAGAGCTGTTGCTCTGCTGTGATCAATAAGCCCATTACCCTTCACTCAGTGCCTTGGCTACCAGAGAGCCCCGGGAATCAGATCTGATTATTGTGATGTATTGGTGTGATTTTGCCTGAGCTCCTGTGAGAGGCTGGGATGAGATTGCATGGAAGAGCAATAAAAGGAAATAAAACCAGAAGGAAGCATATACACTGAACAAAGATATTAGAGGTAAAAGAAAGCCATTTGGAAAGATGAAGCTGGCAGCATGATCAGGAAGACGCAGCAAATAAGAACATTGGGTACAAAGCTGGTGCCTGCCTTGGCTGTCTCCTGCACATTGCTCCAGCTGAGTGCTGCCCAGAAGCTGCTTGGTGTGATGCTGCTGCTGCAGATGGGACAGTCTGCCCCCCCACAAAATCAGCTGGTCAGGGATGCAAAGGGTTGAGGCTGCTTTAGAGGGCCAGCATGAGGCTGTGCAATTTTCATACACACCTGACATTGACCTTAATCTGCTCCATTGTTTTGCTGTGGGAGCCATTGCAAACCCCCTCCCTGCTCTGAACAGATATTGCATAAATATTGGACGAAAGTATCAGAGGGAGAGGTTGCTCACTCCAGCAAATGGGGGTTTCTAAGGCACTTCCACGACTAAGCACAAACCTTGAATGTGATCTTGGCTGTAGTAGTACATAAAGGCCTCAGCAGCAATCAGGACACACTGTACTAGACAGAGCAGTGGAGAGCCCACCTTAAAGCACCTTCCAATGTAAATACATCAGTCAGACAGAATTTACTTGCTTCTCACAATAACCCAGCCCTTGACTCACCACAGATCCAGCCCAGCTCAACACAGCTGTGTCTGAACTTTCACAAAACGTGTCTGAGTCCACAGACGAAGGCTGCTCCTTCTTCAGTGGCTTTCCAAGGAACTTTCCTTCCTGTCAGTAGGAGAAGCAGCATGTTGCAGTTATAAAAACGTTTTTTAAAAAAAGCATGATTTATTTATACACCTATTTAGATATGCAGTGGTATAAAATCAGCCACTGGACACCAGCAGGCACCTGTGCTGCATTTAGTCCAGCTGCTAACTTCAAGTTTGCATATTTGCAGTATTTATCTTCTAAACAGACTTAGCACCTCAGTACTCCTGGAGGCAAATATAATATATCTGCATGTTGACTAAGTCAGTGAATAACATAAACCAGTGGATAATTAAATTGCCAGACTTGATTCTCTTTCATTCATGCTCATAACAGTTTCATATGACAAATAGTCCACATCTAAACTACGCTGATAGAACAAGTAATACATGTTCTAATTAGGTCAGTATACCTGTACAGGTTGCACAGGCTTCCATGTAAACTGCTCAAATAATGATAAAATCACAGTAAAGCACTTCCAATCATTAGATTCCAAGAAGTGTTATCTGAGGAGTAAGTCCCATTCTTCCCATGTGGGTGATAAGGAATCTGAGACCACAGAAAACCTCACAGAAAACTTCAGAAAAATCACTTGTATTTGTCACCTCAGAGTCAAATTAAAAGAATTGGCCTCTGTAATTCCACTCTAGAGGACAAAGTTTGATCTAATTAATCATATATTATCCATAAAGCAAACAAAGGAGCATGTGTTCCAGCAGAAGCCCCCATACTTGACCCCTCTATCACCATCACTGCTGCCCAGCATTGTAGTGGGAACAAACAGAAGCACATAATCTTACAGCTGCTCTATTGTTACCACATTAGCAGAAGGATTTACAGACATGTTGGCTTATGAAATAAAGGTTTACATCTTCAGAAAGGCAAACACCTCCTCTGCACAGGAGTTACACTCCACAGAGAGCTGCTCCCTGGAAGCTGTGCTGAGCTGAGGAACATAGTCAGGGCATCTGTGACTATTAGGGTTTGCTGCTTCCCTCCAAAAAAACCCAAAAACTGCAGTGAATACACGGTTGCCAGTATGTACAGATCATGGTGACAAGCTCGTGTGGCAGCTGCACTGAGGGCCTGAGCAGTTCTTCAAAATAGTGCCATGAAAGAGGAGAACTGACACATTCACTTAACCTTTGCACAAGAATCAATATTTACCTCTCAAAGGCAAATCCTGGCCCCAGTGATGCCAGTAAGTGTTTTGCTAATAATGGAAATTGGGTCAGGATTTTAATTCCGATTTTACTTCCAAATTTATTTCAAGAAAGATATGCTCTGTGAGAAGTTGAGTTGATCAAGGCCAGCAGATTTGCAGCTTTCTGTACCCACAGAACCAGCAGAAAAGCTCTTCTTAAAATCTCAGTGCTTTACCTGTCTGGTAGTTTGGGTGCTGGGTTTTTTTGGAACCACATGAAGCTGAAGATGACACCCATGGTCTTCGAGAAAGTCTCATCATAAGCAAACTTCATGGAGTCTTCTAAAGGTATTTCTACAGCTTCAATCAGCTCTCCTTCCTCAGGCTGGCCACCTCCTCCACTAGTTCTAATCTGGTCTGTTCTGATCTGTTACTTCAGCATAAAACAATGTCTGCTTAGAACCCATCACAACAACTCCAGACCCGGAAAAAAGCAGAGAGGGAACTCTGTTCTAGATAAAAAGAAGGCAGTAAGGAACTAGGAATGGAAACCTGTGTCCCTAAAATGTGTCACTAAGCAACAACAAAATGCATGCCCTTACTCTGCTAATGTCAATTAGAATCTACAATTGCAATTTTATTGAGACAGAAATTGATTGCCACTTCCAAGGCCCCTGCCATGGGCAGGGACACCTTCCACTAGACAAGGTTCTCCAAGCCCCATCCAGTCTGGTCTTGAACATTTCCAAGGATGGGGCAACCACTGCCGCGGTCCGCGGGGGGAAGGGAAATGGGACCGGGCACTGCAATAAGGGTTCTGACACAGTTGAGGTCTCGTGCAGCAATGCCACTTTATTTGGGGGAAACAAGGGTTTAAATAACGTAGGTTTGAGGGGTGGATTCTAACCTGGGGAGGCGCAAGAGATTGACAACTCAGGGAAAAATGTGATAGGGGGATAGGGGAAAGGTGGGCGGAACTCCCGGGTCTCTGAGGAAATG